TGGGGATGGGAGGGATGTTAGTTTGTGGAGAGATTTGTGGTGTGCAATGAGGGAGTACTAGCTTCTAGATTCCCAAGATTATTTATGCTCTTTGCTAGTATGGACCACAAAATTATTCATATGGGTTCTTAGCAAAATGGGAAATGGTGTTGGCAACTGTAATGGTGACATTGACTACTCTCTTGGGAATTAGAATCTATGCACTAATTGACAAGCATTGTTGAAGCAACGCACCTTTACCAAGGGAAGGAAGATATATGGACTTGGAAGCATGGCAAGGAAGGCATTTATTCAACAAAATTAGGGTATTCCTTGTTGGTATCAAGGCAAGATGCGCCATCTAATCATGTCTTTGAAAGAGTTTGGAACCCATGCATACCAACTAAGGTGTGTGCATTCAATTGGTAGCTAATCCTTGATAAATTACCAACCAAAACAAATTTATTCAAGAGAGGAATCATTAAAGATGTAAGCGAGCTTATTTGTTGTCTTTGGGCTGAACATCTAAAAGACAGCACTCATCTGTTTCTCACATGCAGGGTAACCACCCAAATTTGGTCCAAGTGCTATAAATGGTGGGAAATACAAACTGCTACTGCTGGGAACTGTTAGGATACTTTTATTCATCATGAAGGACTAGCAATTTCATCAAGTATGAAAATGGGGTGGAAGGTGTTATGGTTTGCATTAGCATGGAAATTTTGGCTTACTAGAAATGAAAAATTGTTTAACAATGGTGTAGTTGACATTGAAATAATATTTGACTCAATTCAAGTTAAAAGTTTTCAATGGCGGACAATTAGAATTTAGAGGGCAAGTAGGGCATTTTTATTTTTCGGATTAGCTCCTTAATACTAGATTATGTCGTTGTAGTGCTAAGAAGATGGATGATGCTGTAACTCAAACATAGTGAATTGTATTTTGAGTTCTGGTACTGTATATGGGTCAAGTATCCCTTGTACTCAAAACTAATATAATATATTTTCCTTTTAAAAAAAAATTCATCTCTCCACTTTTAATGATTAAAATATATCACAACTTTTTAAATGAAAACAATAATTATTTTTAATATATGTAAATAAATCTTAGCCATTTTGAAAATGAAATGAAGAGATCAATGATTGAGCTTTTATGTGATTGTGGCATGTAAAATTTATATATAAGTAAATTTTTACCATATATATATGAAAATACTTTTGTTTTCCCTTGTGCAAATGGGAAATTTTATTAAACTAATTAACTACAAACCTTGTTTGTCTACAAACCTTACCAACCCTACCATTTTATAGATTCCAAATTGAGAAGTTTGGATAAGAGACCTCTTAAAACCATAATTAAAGAACAATGATACATACATCTTGTACAGTTACACATTCCATTGTACATTAACGGAAACCGCTAGTATGTAATGAAAATTGTCAATTTTAATGGCATAAATAACGCAAACCGTCAACTTTAACGGCACAAATAACGAAAATCATCAATGTATAACGGAGTGTGCAATTTTGCAGGATGTACCAATCATTTTTCTTAAAGAAATAAATACAAACAAATCATATATAATTTAAACTTCAAACTTTTGATGCAAAATTGCATTCTTAATATTTTTAGAAAGGGTATTTTTAAGGACATAGGTTGAGATCCTTAGAAGTATAAAAAGAAATATTTAATTTATCAATTATTTTATTAAATTCATTTATGTGGTAATAACACTAAAATTAATATCAATTTTTACATTTTTTTATACAAATTTATGATAAAAAGATGCTCTTAAGACATAGATTAGAAAAACCCCATTTTTAGAAAAAATTAATTTCTCATAAATTTTTTATTTGAACACACGCACTGCCTTTAAATGAAGTAGAATGCAATATCAACAATACTATAGTTATAAGACCACATAAAATTGTAAGTTTATAACTATGATATAATAAATGAGTATAATATATTATTAAATAAGTTAATGTATATAATATCATAAATAAATCTCTGAATGAAAAAAATCAATTATATAAAGACATATTGTATTATAAATTTATAATACCACGTAGCATTATAACTATAGCATTTTCAATACTCTATAGGCTGTAGCACATTGAAGTTAACTTACCATAATACGTGCCACATAAAAAAGGTAATCATTTTCCTTTTATTATCCCTTCTCTCATAAAAAGGTATGATTATGATCACATAATAAATTGTTGGGATCACATAAATTTTTAAATGTTATATTTTAAAATGATAATTTTATTTAATTAGTTTGACCATTAAAAACATCTAATAAATATAGCCATTAATTGATAAATAAAAAAATTGATATTTATTATTTTAAAATTTATAATTAATTTATACACTAATAATTTTAAATATTATAATTAATTATTTATAAATAAAATAAAATAAAGTTTATGTAACCTTAACATTTTTAGCATGTAACATTAACCACTTCTTACAGTAAAGATTCTTTGACACCAAAATGCTAATTCCAAGGACGATGAGATGCCCTAGAAGAAGGCTAGAAAGCAACAAATTATTAACTTGAAATGATCAAGAAAAGAGTAAAAACAACATGGGGTCATGCACCATTTCCATTTCATTTTTGGTCTACTTTGGAGAGTCTAGAGTGAGAAAATCTGGTCGTATGAGCTGAGAAACTTTGGCGAGAGATAAGTGGTCCCACTCCCCATACCCTGTTGGGTCTTCCAACAGACCAATTAGGGCTACTTATGGGTAGCATGTGCAATTCTATCGCTTCATCAGGAAGACAGAGAGAGCTTGGTGTGATTCTACTTAATTCTGATGGCAGCAACGTCAGGCCCTTTTCTTCATTTTTTGCCCTTACAAAAGCACTAAAATGTGTGGCCAAAGTCCAATGCCTTGGAGCAGAGGGTCTTGGTGCAGTCTGCATTCTTAGTTTCCCATCTAGCAAGGAATTGAATTACAGAGTACATCAATATTTTTTTGTGCAATTGTAAAATCAGAGATTTTCTTACTGTGTCAAACCACTCAAAATTGGCCTTCGAAATGGAGAGGTCCGTGAATGTCGGGGTCCTCACAAAAGGAATTTTCGAAATTTTCAATTAACCAATAATAGGAATAGTAAATTACGAGTTTTTTATTTAAAAAAATATTTTATGATTTATTATACACAAATTGTAAATACATCAATCTCATAATTAATAAAATTCTTGATAAAAACAGTGATAAACCCCAATGATCATAGGGCTGTTGGGTTTGTAGTTCGAACATACTAAACTCTTCTACTCAAATATATTTCAATAAACGAATTCATAATTTATAACTTTGAGTATCTACAGGCACAATCATATCATTTGAATTGCTTAATGACAAATTTTAAATTATTCCAACTTTGATTTATTTGATGATAAAAAATTTTCAACCTTGATATCAACCGGAGGAATCGATAAATCGATAATTTATTTTAGCAAGTCGGTAATATTGTTATGTTATGTAATACATAAGGAAAATGAAAAGTCACCTTAATTTCCATTAAAAAAAAAAGTCACCTACACATTATAGCATTCTATCATGGAATGGAAGAAAACTAAAATGTTTTAATAATTAAAACATTAAAAATAATAATAATAAATTAAAATATTTTAATAAATAAAGACATAAAGATAATTTATTAAGAGCTTATAAGGAGTTTGATATTTTAAACAATAATATTATAATTACAATATTACGTAAAATTATAAATTTATAATTATGATATAATATTAAATAAATATGATATAGTATTAAATAAGTAAATGAATATAATATTATTGTAGATCTTTAAATGAGATGTGATATTAATCAAATTAATACATACAATATCATAAGTAAATCTCTAAATAAAAAAAATCAATTATATAACAACACATCATATTATAATTAAGATTACAATACTATGTAATATTGTAACCATACCATACTATTTTCTTATTTTAAATGTCAAAATATCCTTAATTTTCATTTTTCTATTTTATTTTTTATTTTTCAACATGTTAAAAGAAATCTCATATTAAAAAAATAGAAAAAAAGACGTATGAGTGAGAAAAAATAGGGACTGCTATATTTATTACTATCAATTAATTTTAAATTACATTCAAATTTTACATTCAAACTCAATTATTCAATTTTCAGGTTACACAATTATATATATTGTGAACCTATACTCATATACTTTGTTAACCCTGGGTAAATCTGACATGCTACGCTGCAATTGGTCATTGCAAAGGGTACAGCTGGACCCCCTAGTTCGCTAAGATTGCCCTTTTTTAATTTCCTTTAGACTGCAAGACTCGTTTTTTTGATTACATGTTGGATCTTAGAGTGGAAAGTGCTGGATTGTAAGAGAAGGTGGTTTCAAAATGATGCAATTTAACACTACTATCCAACACACTTCACAATGACAAATATTATATTTTAATGGCACACACATGACACTCTACCCAAAGTTGTTCATGATGCAACTTAGATTTCAAGCTTTTTGTTCATTTGGGAGAAAACATCTACACCAATCTAGCACCTTCATTGAAAGTCTTAAATTTTTAATTAAATTATGTTTAATGAAAGGGACTTGAGCTTTCTATAGATGGATTTTTTATTTTAGAATCTAATTTACACAATATACACAACATAAATTATTTGACAAAAACTTATGAGTTTTTTTATTTGATAATTTTTATTTTATAATTTAAACAATATTAAATTGTGTAACAATATTTTCTTCGTAAAAACTTGACAAAGACAAAATGCAGGATGTGATCCCCATGTGTCCCTTATGTGTATATATAGATGATATATATGGATAGATTACATTGCTTTTTCCTGCACAAGAAATGACTAAAATTAAGATCCTTTGCAAGAGTATGAAGTACTAAAATTTCAAGAAAAAGACGTGTGTTCAATTATGATTAATTATGAAGCAAATGAACATGGATTGTATTGCAGACTTCCTAGTGGAATGAAGAAAATGGGGATGGGATGCACTTCAAAAGTACCAACATCTATTGAAATTGTCAATATTTCAAGAATTACAAGAAAAAATAGCTGTTTCATTTTACGAGTGCACTTGCTTTTGTAAATTTTTTTCAGTGTTAGCGTACAAGCAGTAATTCTCCAATCAATCCCAAAAAACCTTTCTGAAAATTTACGAGGGTTTTGGCATGAAAGGACACCCTTACCAAAATTAAGAAAGAAATCAGACAGTTAGATGCCTACCTAACTCTTGTTGAAGCAAACAATGTAATTAGGAAATTAATAGGAAGATATGCTCAGCTTCTCCAATTTGGACTAGAACCCAAGTAACCCAGCTGCTCAACCAAAACATCTACATCTTCTTCATCTTCACCTTCAACACCCAAAAGAGCTCCCTCTTCTTCAATATCATCATTCAGTAGATCTTCCCAGAACTCCTCGTCAAGTTCTTTGCCTTTGCTTCCTAGTTCCTCTCTTCTCTCTATGTCCTCTTCCTCTAGGCTATTTTGGCTCACAATTTGTCCTTGCATATCCATGGCAAGTTTGTCCAGCTCCGAAACTTCAAAATCAGCTATATCACCACATTCCTCTGGTTCAATCTTGACAAAGATTCCTCCTTCGATATCTTGGCCTAATTCATCAATATCAACACTGCTCGGCCCTTGATCAATTGGTCGCCGTCTCTTTTTACTGATTGCTTCCTCGAGTTCTTTCCTCTTGTCTTTTTGTTGAACAAGTTGCTGCATGAAGCTTGGATTCTGCATTGCCCTTGCCAAGAAGCTCATCATTTGCTGCTGTTTCATTTCTGTCCTTTTCAACCTTTCTTCCATCACCTGAAGACAGGTTCTAGTGTTTTGCTGATGTTGCCTGAGTTTCACCAATTCCATCATCAATACCTGCTTGTCACGCCTCAACGTATCGATTTCTCTATCCAGTCCAAACCTTCCAACTTCAACACAAGAATCTAAAGCTTGCTGTGAAGCCAGAGGTGAAGGTGTCTTTCTCCTCCTGATATTCTTAAGAAGGTGCCTTTGCCCTCTGAGAAACCCTTCATTAGCAAACTCCCACCGATCTGGATCAACCTTTCTAAATCCCTACATGAATCAAATCTTTTTCTTCACAATCAAATCCTAGAACCCAAAAAGAAAAGAAAAGAGAGAAGAAATAAAAAAAAAAAAGGAGAGAAGGAGAGAGAGAGAGATGACCTAAATGTGATATTAACTACGAATGCTAAGTACTAACTCCAACCTTCAAAAGAGCCTCAGGAAGATGGACACATGGGGCATTATGTTTACATAAAATGTGAAATAATGATATGAAAGGACTGCAAAGCTGATGCTGAAGCAGCCAAATAATAGTGTTTCTGTATTTTATATTCCAATCTTTCCTCACTTTTCTGGTTGAAACAATTTAACAAACAAAATGTCTACATTAAGTAACTCCATAAAACAATACTAAAAGGGAACCAATTTAATTTTCTAATAATCAACATGTTTAAGAAAAAAACATTCTAGCGCTTTCAGAACAAGAATGAATGTGAAAATTCGCTTCTGATAAAAAAAAAA